GGCGGTGGCCATAATGATGGAGGAGGCAATACAAAGCCTTGTAAAGGAGGCCGGTGACAGAAGTAGGTAAGACCGCTGCTAAATTTGATTTGAGGATGTAGGATTTGAATTGATTTAGGGATTGAATCTAATGGATTGAATCTAAGGCTCTAATACCATGTTAAGTTGGTATTGAAGAGAGCTTGATATATTATGATCAGATTTACATATATACACAAATAGTAGCCCACGCTAAACACAAACGGTAGACCACACCAGGAGGTGGCTGGTGGCTGAGGCGGCTACACACTAGGGTGGTTAGAGCTCATGATCGGCTATAAGTATCAGTAAACATAGTATTACAAAGGTAAAAATCTTTTAAAAAAATTGGCTATAAGTATCAGTAAACATAACATGCCTGGTTTTGGTAACATACTATTACAAAAACCTTGTGCAAGATGCAGCAACCTATGGACTTTTCGAAGACAATTCATTTCAATCAATACCACCTCACACTTTTACATGTGCATCCACAGTGTTGTTTCGGTAAAACTGACAAAAAATTCTGTTATTTTACCCAAGCAAAACATGCAACCGAACAACGGGCCTTTAGGCCCCGTTTGGCAAAGGTTTAATGAAGAGGGGTTAAAGAGAAGGATTAATGTACTTAGCCCATTTGATAATCTGAAGGACTAAATTATTAACCCGTTAAATAAGTTTTATTTTAGCCCTTATGATCAGTTTTAGTGTTTGGGAATAACAATGATTTTGACTATTTTCTTTATAATTAGAAGAGTTAACTCTTATTCCATCTAAATAGGAGTATTAGTAAACCCCTCATTTTGAGGGATTAACTCATTTTAACCCCTCTAGAGGGGTTAACTTAACCCTTCTATATTTTTTATGTTTGGCAAATTATGGAGGGTTAACTCACTTTAACCATTATATAGATTTGTTGTGTTTGGCAGGTTAAGAAGGTGTTAAGTCTCCTTAACCCATCACTTAACCCTTTGCCAAACGGTACCTTAGGGTATATATTTTTATATTCTAACAGATGATGCATGACACACTAGCTAATTAATTTCGTTAGGCTCCGAATCAATTAAGGCGGAAGCAGTTATCCAGTTTGAGCTCACCAAACAAAAGTTGAAATTATTTGTAATTTTTGATCAGGTGGGAGAACGCTGCGCGTGTCTCGCCCTAAACGCAATGACACTCTGGAGAGCACTTGGAGGGCGATCACGGACGGCAGGGCCATGCCGCTGACACGCCACCTCAAGAAATCAGACACGTGGGAGACCACGGAGCGCGATGGGGATCGTGGGGCCCGGCGTCCTCCCTTGTCGTCGGGCGCAGCAGCCAGGCTGAGGAAAGAGCCGTCAATAGGGCAGGACGATCTGAATAGGAGGGTGGAGGCCTTCATAAACAAGTTCAATCAGGAGATGAAACTGCAGAGGCAAGAATCCTTCAAGCACTACTTCGACATGATTAACCGTGGAAGTCACTGACGTACGTACTAGAGTATTATTATTAGTTACCTTCTCCCCCTGCTTATCTTCAATATCCCATCAGTAATATCACACTGTTTAAATTCAAGCAAAGCTCTTGTTTTGGGTTTGTTTTGCAGTATAATTAATTACCAAAACCAAAATAAGAATGTTATGTCAAAATTAAGATCCTTCCTTGTCTAGGTCGTTACAGGGTGTCTGCTCGTGGGGTTTCTTGATTAATTTAATTTCTCGTAATATGTTTTGAATTTAATTTGACTTTTCCCCCATTTAATTTGGTTGCGCTGGTTGTGTAACTGAAGCTGGGATGTTTGTGGTTCGTGGTCTGTTAAAGCAAACTTTCTGCTGAATTTTAGCCGAGTGAAGTGCATACAATATGAATTTTAGTGCAAGTTTGCATTTCTCGCTAGCATGTGGCCGGCTCGCGTTGTCGGTTGGTGTTGCGTCTATTATGGAAGAGGCGCCTGGGGGGGGTCAAATGGGGCTTAATCGGCATTCAATATGTACGTTGCCACATGCCTGTGGATTAATAATGATCGTTTCTTAATTAGCATTTAATGCACAGAAGTGGCTGTCAACATGCTGTAATTTTATTTCATTTTTTTTGTTTCGCAGTTCTGTTTATCAATTGCAAACTTAGAATCACCAACACCACCGTAGTAGTATCTGTTTGAGAATAGTAGAATCTTTTGCAAGAGAGGCTGAGAGTGAGAAAAATCTTGGAAACTTTTTCATGTAAACTTGCTCCAACCGTTTCACATGCAATGTGGTGGATTTGTGTTCTGACCGTTTCTTAATTAGGATTGCCACCCTTTTCGCTAAAAACACATAATATCTAGCAGAAAAGTGGATAATAACTAGTAGATGACACACGATATTTTATAGCGGTTCGGATAACAATCTCATGTTCATTCTTTCTTCTCATGAAGAGACTTCCTCACTATACCAAGAGTTCTCCTAAGTCACAGATCTGATTCAATAAGTTTACAAGACCGCACCGTGGAATCTACTCGAAACCATGTGTCTAATCAAACACTCCACAATAAGTAACACATAACTCTAACTAGACTCAATTTCTCAATTTACCATGGATTGAGTACGCTGTAAACCCTCAATTCGCACCGGCTTGAGTATGATGTAAAAAATAAGTTTAAATCAAATAAACCAATGTCAATTAAGCGTAGTACAAAAAGATCTTACTATCTTTTCGATAAAACTAGCCGTCCTTCAATGGATATAAGAGAAGCTTGATAAAGAACGGTGATCAAGATTAATTCAAGGGAATCTCTCCTTGCTATGATGAACCCGATGATGTTATGCACGGTGAGTTTCGAGGCTCCGGGTATCATAACTTTCAATATAATCTCTTCTCAAATCAAAACTTCTCTATCTCTTTCAATGATATATAGTCCCCAGTAAGTCAGTAAGTCAGGAAAGAGATATCCTAAATATGGTAGAGTTTGACCCGTGGATGTGATGTTTCTCTTTTCCCAACCCGTGGGGTAGGGACATACCACTCATTCTTCATGAAGCTCATTCCTGTTAGCGATTGCGTTAAGGTGAGCTTCTAACTCGTCTACCTTGGATGATTGAGGATCTGGCTCTTTTCCGTTTCCCTCTCGTTTTCAGAAGAGGATTCGATGTTCTGAGTTTCACAATCTGAATTTTTAGGCATATTTTGCTTCCCCTTTGAATACGTCTTCCGAGAAGATTGAGACTTCCGCACCCTCTCTGCGAGGATTTGGGTTAACATGTCCCTCATCTGAATGAGCATCTCCTGCTGCGCATGGATCATGACATGATGTTCCTCGACTTTCTTGGCTATATCGTCAGAACTTCCGGTTATATAGGCGGGCACCTCGCGTGATACGAAAGAGCTTGATGATTGGGACTCTGCAATAGCTGAGTGCTCATCGTCTGTAGTAATCCCCTTGGCCAATTTTTGATAATCAACTGGACGGATTGCTCCTGTGCGTGTTCGAGTGCGCCGATATATTCCCTCGAACTCGTCACAAATTTCCCGAACAATCGGGGAACGGTCCCTTTCTGACTCATCAGAACTTGGAGCTGGGGCATTCCCCCTGCCAATCACATTGGTAGTGACTTCTGGATATTCCGTTTTGGAGGTCACTCTCTTGTTATGGCGGTGTCGCTTGGTAGGCCTAGCGACGTTTGTCAATCGGTTGAATACCGATTGCCGAGGTGTAGACATGCAGCACGGGGATTCTAAGAGGACTGCAGAAATGAGCCGCTCACACTGGCATGAATGAGCTGCACACTGTCCAGGTCCTCTTCTTAACAGCAAGTCCCGCAAGTCAAAGACTTGGGAAGAATCCCTCACAGAGGGTAAGGGTAGAGATAGAACCCCCTGTTCTTGAATGGAAAGAACTGGTTCTTGTTGAACATGAATTTTGAATCCATGTTGATTGCCTCAGACTTGGCGGACCACATCATATCGTGTTTTATAGAAGGAACACTATGGTCACTCTTGATCTGAGGAACGCTAGGATGAGGCCTATGTTTGGTTGATGAAACGGGCCTTTGAGGGCCCTGTTTTAGTTGAACGCGCCCCTGGGAGTCCCGTTTAATTGATGAAACAAACACCTGAGGGTCCTGTTTGGGCTGAACGCGACCCTGGGGAATGCGTTTGAATGATGAACATGACCCCTGAGGGTCATGTTTTGATTGAATGCTCCCTTGAAGGTCGCGTTTGATAGATAAACATTACCTCCGAGGGTCATGTTTTGATTGAACGCGGCTCTGAGAGTCGCGTTTGATAGACGAACATGGCCTCTGAGGGTCATGTTTTGATTGAACGTGGTTCTGAGAGTCGCGTTTATTTTCAGAAACGTCTCCTTGAGGAGTACGTTTTCGGTGAACAATGCGCCACTGAGGGTTGCATTTGATTTGAATTACACGAGGCTCATAGTTGAGCTCGTTACCACAGAGTGTACGCTTTGGACTGGAGACACCACACTCGGGCAGAGACTCAAAAACATGGGCCTCGCATTGGACACAAGATCGGCTATCTCGCAAGTGAGCTCGTCGTATGGATCTTCTCCTCCGTCGAGCGGTATTCTTCTTGGCCTATTTCAAGGCCTTGGCTGCAACGTCATCGGTGTTGGTTAGATCTTCCTCCGCCATGGATCGTTTATGGCCCGACACATGGCGTGTTGGCTCGGGCAAGGATACTTTACTCGTCGAACGAGTTTGATAGTATCTGAGCCCATTCCTTTAGAGGAAGGGCTGATTGAACAGTCTTAGCTAGATGGGGAGATTGTTGTAGGAACTGTATCAACAGGTGGTGTTTTTATCTATTTGGAGATCTTACAGACATGACGCCTAGCCTTTGGGCTAAGTGATCCGAAGGAGAGGATTTCCTCATACTTCGCTTGATCAAACTCTACAACGAGAGTTTTCACTATTGTCCCAGCAAAATGGACGTCGGATTGCACCACCACTTCATCTTCAGAGAAGTTTGTTCCCAGCGGAGTCGACATCTTTTGTTTAGTGGGAAAATTTGAAAGAAGATAATTGAGAAAATAATTTATTGTATTATCTCTCTGAAAGAATGAATACAATCCTCTCAATACAATTCTCCCGATTTACAAAAGAGAAGCGGATCGATGGAGATCCTCCCCTTTGTTTAATTCTGGGTTCTTCATGGTGGGGTTGGAGTGCCTCCCTCGAATGCTTCCATCAAGCTCACTCTCTGTTGACAATCTGATCACCTTGCTGGAGAAATGAACTTGCATGGCAAGTTTTTTTGAACTCTTAACGAGTTAATAAGTCAGAACGAGTTTGTGGAACTCTGGAATAGAGTTGATCAAAACCAAAATTCGGTTAACAAGCGTGATTTGCTCATTGATGTATCCGCCAATTGGATGATGAGTAGAACTATTGCTACAGTTGTTGATAATGCTTAGAGAATGCCGAAGATGATCCAAAGATCCCTTGAAAGACTTGCTGAAAATCCAAGAGCCGATCCAAAGAGCTTCAAAATCCAAGTGATGATCCAAAAGCCCTGAACTGAAACTGATTTTTAGTTATTTATAGTGCATTAAGCGGTGTAACTACCCCTTAAATCACTCCCAAGTGGGGTGGAACTGCCCCTAATTATGGAAAAAGAATGTTCAATGAGTCAAATAACACCCAGTTGGGCGTTTTGGTGTTAACTCCGTGTCTCAGAATTGAGACATGTAGTTCGGCTTGGGCCGAAGGCCAAACGCGGGGGTCGCTTGCATTTTGACACTTGAACACGATGATGACTTCCGCGTTTTAGAAGTGGTCGTTAACATGTAACCCCTTCTGTTGAAGCGTTTGTAGAGATCATGGTTCTGTAATCCTTGCATTAGTTATTTGGAGTGCTAGAGTCGTGAGATTGTAACTCTCATTATTGATTGTGAAAGCTACTGAACAGAGTTTTCATCAGTCATCGGAAGGGTCGTTGAATTGTAACCCCTCTTGATCTACGTGAAAAGTACTCCATTTACAACTATCGTGAAAGTCGTCTGATTATGACTTTCATTAGAGGATTGATTGAAGAATTGGTTGAAGTTTGACAGAGATCAGCTATCTGCTGTGATTTTTAGGCAGCCTATAATACTGTGACGCCCCTGGGTTCACACAAGGTTGCAGTCCAAGGTGAAACCAAGAATGTCAAACCTGCCATACACCACACTGTGGAATAACATGTTTCATCATCACAATTCTATCACTCTAGTAGAGTCAATAACAAGTGTAGGTACAAAAGCAAGTAAAAGATAATACAAGAGATAACTGATGAAATGATAGAGATCAAAATACTATTTCATCATCCAACATACAGAAATACAAAGTCAATGTTTGAAATGAATAAACTGGAGTTCTTAACAAGTCTCAAATACAACAAGTCTAAGTAAAGGAAATAAGGCATACAACCTTTACAACATCTAGAGAGAAATCCTCAAATGTCTAACAACAACTACAGTGGAGCTCCAAAATAATACATAGCTAAAATGGATAGCTGAACACTAAAGTGTATCGCTATCAACCTGCGACTCTTTGGGCTCCTGACTCGTCACCTGAAAGGGGGAGGGACAACGAGCGTCAAAGCGCTAGCGAGCAACATCACAACCAACCCCAAGGGAGAGGGCTCGTTGTATATGAAAAATACAGTTATCACAAAACGTATATATATAATCAATTGTCCTAAGAATAATGGGTTTAGTACTTAGGAAATTTCAACACGAGCATATGTACGTCGAGCGAAAT